CTGCGAAGATGTCATCGTCGTCGTCATTCGGGTGGGGCTCCTTTCCTTTTGCCTTCTTGGGTGCCTTCTTGGGTGCCTTCTTGGGTGCCTTTGGGGGTTCTTCCTCTTCTTCTTCCTCTTCTTCTTTCTCTTCTTCTTCCTCTTCTTGATACTCTGGAGCCTTCTTCTTCTTGCTGGATTTGGGCTTGCTTTTGCAGGCTGGTTTTGCTTTCGCCTTTGATGAGGCCTTTGGTTGTGCTTTTGCCTTGGCTTTGGGGCTCTTATTCTGCTTCTTCTTCTTTGGTTTCAGCGAATCCTTCAGCTTCCGCTGCATCTCTGGGTCAACCTCGGGCTCCTTCTCATCCTTAAGCTGGGGCGTCTTGCCTTTCAGGGCCTTGTCTGATGACTTTCCGCGGATCCTCTTGGCTGGTGGATCTGGCTCCTTGCGGGCAACCTCTACAGCCTTGGGCTCCTTGACCTTTGCTGGCTTCTTGGGTTGAGGTTCCTTGGGTTTTGAATCCTTGGCTTGAGCTGCAGGTTCCTTGGGCTTTGGATCCTTGGGCTTTGGATCCATGGGTTGAGCTTCCTTGGGTTTTTGCTGCTTGGGTTGAGGTTCCTTGGGTTTGGGCTCCTTGGGGTTTGCAGGCTCATTGAAAACATGGACCTTGTTGGTCTTTGCTGGCGGGTTGTTGGTCTCTTTGAGGGGATCTGCAGACTTGGCCTGAAGGGTGTGAACATATAATTTTTGAGATACGAGAAACACATTGGACACGCAACCCATCCATATAAGACTTGACATTTAGACAGGTCGAACATCATTTTGTACAACAAACGCTGCATTTAATGTGTCTCTTTATCTTTCAATTTCGCTGTCAACTCTTCTAGTCTCTCTTTCTCTTTCTCCTCTCTCACTCTCTCTCTCTCTTTCTATTTTTTGCAAGGCCTTGGCAATAATCGCAGCACTCAAATGCCTTCCCGCAAAATAGCCCCGCGAACGCGAAGAGGGTGGAACAATTGGAGAGTCGGGAATCACCACGGATGCAGCATCGTAGAGCTGGGTGTCCTGATGTTTTTTTCTAAAGCCCAAAGCATGCACGAAGTCTCATATATACATATATATATATATATTTTTTGTCTTGAGTCTTGCATCGCAGACCGGTTTAATCAATGTGTCAAAAGCTGCCTCCTCCTCACCGGCTGGAGGTGGTGGCTTCGCAGCGGACTTCGCTGACGGTCGTGGTGGTGGAAAACCAGCTGCCGAACCTGTCGGGAAGATGGCCCGGGACGTGCGATCGATCGGAACGCCCCCCCCCCAAATATATATATACATATATCTGAGATTAATTGTACCCCTCACGATATGCACAATACATCACAATACTTATAGCAAAACTGTTGAAAATAGTTCAGAAACGCTTGGACATCTTCTCAGAAAGCTGCGCTTGCAGTTTGATAAGCTGCATTCGTAGAGCGTCAATGTTCTTCGAGGGTTTGGGGACATCCTTGAAAGCTACGATCTCAACATCGCTCTTCTGCCCTGGAGTGTCCTCTCGAGCACTGGCGGCCTGCGCAAACATATAATGTTTCAGGTTGTAGGGGACTGAAGAAACTATAGTACAAAAATCCAGCAAGTTGCATTTATCAAAACGATCATTTGCACGAACACCCCAAGCCTTGTCATGCATACCACAGCCTTCATGCGCAGGCTCACCACCCTAGGCAGAAACCCAAAGACAAGGATTACTATATCTTTTTTTGGGCAAGGTATATAATCGCCTCTTCATGCTCTTCCTCTTCATGCTCTTCTCCAGATGCATCGCCAATCTCAGCGTCATCCTGCCAGATCATTCCCCAGTTGGAGTTTAGTTGGAAACAGGACGCGTTAATTTATCTGTGTATGGAGTTTTCCGGAGTTTTCCCTATGAACAACTTTGTTCTCACAAGACTTCACGTTATATGGGTTGAACAACATCGATCGATGCAGTCCTGTTGGTGCAATGGCGCACACTTGACATAGGCTCGCCCAAACCCAGAACGTTCCCGTACATGTTCAATCTTTTCAAAAAGCTTGCGGACGCCGTCAACCTGAGAGGCTTGAATTTATCATGTCTGCATATATGTATATATACGTGTTTATATTCTCGAAACAACAGTCAAATCAGCTTAGGAGCTCGTGGTGTCTGACGTCGTTTTTTGCAATCAGCTTGACGTCGCTTCGCAAACCCAAACAGCCGCTTGATGCTCCACGCATCTCGATAGCTTTGTTTGGGCTTCATTGTGTAGCCAGCCAGGTCGAACATCATCTCAACCTGCCCCAAAACGTGGGGCTCTAATAGAGAAACTTGCCCCAAAAAAACATCACAATAGAACGTGTTAGGTTTTGCATGGTTGATAAGTTGTTCCCCGCCTCTCGTTGAATCTTCGGAACAGTAGGCTTCGGCTTCCATCCCCATTCATCAAACATTTCATACAAGATCTCTGTGTTGGAAGCGAGAAACTCGGAGTTCAGCGGCGGCCCTTCATCACCTTCATCACCTTCATCCTCACTAGCGATTTGCCTCGAAACCGAGGGTTCCCTAATCCAATCACCACCATTTCTCAACCTCTTTCGAACTACCAAGCGGCCCTCCCATCGTCGAGCCAACGACATATCCAGCACTTTTCGGCTGAGTTTGAGCCGTGAATCTCAAGAGTAAGTGATTAGCGCTGAAGATCTGCACAACCCGATCTGTTGTTTCAAAAAGACAGGGATGCACCACAAACCATGCTGGCAGCACCTCTCCAGAAGCTCGCGCCGGCGCCATTCCCACACCCGCGCAGCGCGAGAAAACCGCGAACAAAAGTTAGACCGCACAAAAAAAAACATTTGTTTTGTTGCAAATACGCCAGTGCAAAGAAAATTGTAGAGCTCAATATACATCCGCAATCATTCGCGTGCACATACTTGTCGTTGTTCTTCGGTTTGTTCAGCCCAATGTGCATTTTAAAAAGAGCTCTTAGCTCTTGAGCGTGGTTTATGAATAACGACGAGGCTGCAACACATAACCCAGCAGGGTTGCGTTGAAAGAAAACTGCTCACTCTCGGAACGATCGTGTTTTGCCAGAGAATGGTTCTGACAGCCGCTTTGATTCAAAACCACACTAGACTTAGGATCTGATCAACCAACCCCCTGCATGTGTAAACGGCCGGTGTAAAACAACGATCGATTTTGGGAGTCATCGTTTCGCATCCGTCCACCGATGTGTTTGGTCCTGTTTGAAGAAAGATGAAGAAAGCAACTGGCACACATGCATGTGCAAACATTAAAACCAGACTCCAACAAGTTTCACCTTAGGACATATATGAAGGTTTTTTTGGTACATATCTATAGTTTTTTACGTTATACATGTATATATATATATATGTGCCGATAATACACTTTCAAAAACACCTATAGGTGTTTTTGTTTTTTCTTGGCTCAAGAATCCCAATCACCAATCAAAACAAGAGACTGGCTGGTTCAAAGCCGACCAGTAAAGCCACTAAGCTCGACTATATCAAGCCAAAAGCTTCTTAAGAGTATCAGTGATACTTTTGCCTCTAAATATGCCACTGCATCCTTAAAGCGCCACTTGTCACTCCGATGCTTTTTTTGACACTTTAAGTTCGCAGGTAACCAATTCGACCCCTCAATGTGTTGCAAGAGGACTTCATTGAACTAACTACACACTTGAAACTTCTTGGTCATACCCTGTCAGTGCAGAGTTCTGTGAACCGTGTTTTGGGGATTCAGCCACGGATGGTAGAACAGGTGGGTTTCGTCTCGGTGAACCATGAGAACCTGGGGGAAGCTAAAGGCGTCCTGCTGCCATTTGGTGGGGTTTCTGAGTGTTTGAGACCCAACTGTACCCACCAGGCTGAAGAACCTCGTGTGGACCAGACAGATTCATTCCGTTTCTTGGGGGTTTGGAGCCCTGTTTGCCCGTGGCGGCGCGGCCCCCGAACATCCGTGCCGGCGCGGTCCGCGGGACGTACCGTACTAGCCCTAGCCATCTTACAATCGAAAGGTACCTGGATCAGATCGGAACCTTTTCTTTATGCTCTTTGGAACAGCAGGTTGATGAGGTCCCATTCTTGATGCGGTCGCATCGCAAAGAGGGCGACAAAAAACTGACTTGCTAACATGGAAGTGGATGGCACCCACCTGTTTGGTATTCGGAACATGGTCATCCCAGTGGCCAATGCCATCCATTCCATGTGAACCTCGGAGATGTTCGGAGTGTAAAAAAGCTAGCTGTGAAGCTCGTTGATCGCTCCCTTCCTGAAGATCAGGAGCGCATCATCCAGGGTGTGGGGCGCTGCGTCCAGGGCGCTACGGGGCTGCTGATGCAGATCTCCCCTGCGCTGGGCCCCGCCAGCCCCTTTGTCTATGGCATCAGCTTAGCTTTCAACGTGGCAGCCGGCGTGATGATGAGCATTACGGCGAGTCCGGGCAATAGCAGTGCCAGTCAAAGCGTCAGCCAAGCGAGTGGCTTCCAATATGATTTGAGCGGTTTAGAGACGAAGATCAAGCAGAACTTCCAGCAGATGGGCTGGGAATTCCAGCTCACTCTCTTGAGTCTGAAGCGCCTTGGAACCCGACCCTAGTGAGGTTCTTCTTGGCCCCTTTGCCCTCAAAGAGGTGGAAGATGGACGAAGAGAGCCCCTGAAGCCCACATTACTCCAGACGACCATCATCACCAATCAAATTTCCTCTTATTGGAAAATGAGTTCCTGCAACCAAATGCAGTTTCATGTTGTTGGATATTTTTTTTTGTGCTGTTTCAGGAAGGTCGAAGATGAGATGGAGGACATGGTGAGGCACCTGACGCATCAGCTTCAGGAGATCTCCGTGGAACTCGAAAGCCTTCACAAGCAGCTGACTCGTGATTAGCAAGGAATGAGGGTGGTTGGATCCTAAGGTGTCCTAATGAGGGAAGGGGTCATTCCCATATTATGATCTCTGATTCTCTCATTCTCACCAGTCAGGCAGCTGGTGTCCATGCAAGTGGAGCCCAGTCTTTCCACTATGAACATCGTGATGACCATGCACCAGGACTATCTGAGAGCTTTGACAGGCGAAGAGGACATGGTGCCTTGGACGTTCCCCAACAACTCCGCGAGATGGGTGAGGTGAGGTGAGTGAGTTTTTGGAGCCGCTTCGCGAGCTGCGCGAGCTTCGCGATGGTCGATGGTCTTGTCCGGTTGGTCCTGGTTTTGACCTTCAGACGCAGACGTACAGAGGAAATCCGGCCTGAAAGCCTGGTAGAAGTGGAGACTCTATAGAAGTCTTGGTGGATTTCCATGTCAATGTAGAAAAGTGCGAAGCCCGCGGATGTGGAACGACTTTCCTAGGTGGCGGTCCTGGAGCCTTACATCCCGCAGCTCATCGAACATGAGCTGACCCTTCGCGCCAGCCTCGTGAGCACTCTGGAGCGTCTCGTGGACTGTGGCGCCTGCGGCGGCGCGGCCGCCGGCAGTTTGTGGTTCGCCCGGTTTCTGCAAGCGCGCTACCAGGTGTGGACCATGCTGTGCCTCGGCGGGGGTTGCCTGGCAGGTGAGCTGGTTCGATTGGAAAGGAAGGAACACACGGAAGTGGGGAGTGATCTAGTTTAAGAGATGTTAGATTCTGTTACCAGCACCTTCCAACAGGTCTCCGAAATGGAGGGTTGGGAAGGCCCTGTCGCAGGTTTCAATTGGTGACCTGTGAAGTCGGGTGCTGGTAGATGATCTGTTTGTGCCTGAAACCATCAAGTGGCTGATTTTCTGGTCTTGGTCGCTGAGAGACTCTGGGGTAGAGTGACGGAGACACACTGACGAACCGCTATTTAACATGAAATACATGTATTGTTCACAGCGGAAATGGTTCCGAGTGCATCCACATAGAACCAAAACACTCCACACTTAAAAGCAAATCGCTGAGAGTACTTAGAACCAAAGGGAGGCATAGTTAGAACCGAGCGCAGTGATATTTGCGGCAGATCGAACCCAAGTTTACCTGTTGTTGTTTTGTTTTTTCCGTTGGTTCTAAGAGCCAAACTTGGCCTCTTCGTTCTAAGTAAGCGGTCCAGTTCCTTTGGGAAGAATGAGACAAAATTATCGTGAGTAAATAATCACTATAGTCGTTTCTAAGTCTGTGTCCCTCACTATCAAACTCAATCCAGCACATCCTGCTGGTCTCCCAGGTGGCACTACCGGCAAGTGACCAACAACCTGGATCAGGTGCAGGTGATGATCGACCACCTACGTAAAGACCAAGAGCTGCTCTGGCCGCAGTTGTTGCAGCGCCTGGGCTTAGCCGCGTGGATGCGCCTCAGTGGAAGCCAATTGGCCAAGTACTTCATCTCTTCAGCATCCTACATGCAGGTGACTTGGCTCAAGTTCTGGAACCCAAAGACACGAGTTAAAAATCATCAACACAATACTTTCATGGATGGATGCATGTTATAGGTGTCTTCCTGATTTGTGACATCCTCTTCCCATCCACTCGCTCCACACCTTATCAGACCATGTCGATTGACCAAGTTCTGCAGATGCTTAGACGTTACAATGACAATTGGACTAACAGGGTGCCAACGAGTGCATCATCCCTGCAAATCAACTTCTTCCACTGAAACCGATCTAAGGCATCTTTCATCAAACACACTTGATTGCCTAGAGTTGGGCCACACAACTCCGGCCAGAAATCAACACTTCTTCAATATTAAAGATCTCTATTTTATTACTATATTAAATCCTCTTAAATCCTCTTCAAATACCAGAGCGCCTCCGTCTCATCCTTCATCTCCGCGAATTCAGAACAGGTAGAACAGATCATCGACGACCTCGGCTCCACCTCTTGGCCCCAGCGCCTCTCCGCTGCCCAACACCTCGCGGAGCGCATCGAAGCCTCCGGCAGCGGTGGCAGCGGTGCCGCGGCCGCGGTGCCGGCGCTGCGCGGGTTGCTGGCGCCGCCGGAGAGTGCTTGGAAGTCCCAGAACCACGCGAGGAACGACTTCTTCGGAGTGAATGAGCAGCAACTTGGGAGGAAGAGGAGATGAGGGACAGGTTGAAGAGGTTGACAAAAATTGATGGCTGGGGTTGTTGGGTTGTTGCCTTGCTTGAATCTTGTTCCCTTCACCCCCCGCTTCATCCAAACCACCTGGCAAAAAGGTCGCGCTGGTCGCTCGCCTCTCAGGCAGTCTGCCTGCCGACAAGCTGCCGAAGTCTTGGAGCAGCTGGGCTACCCCGCCGCCTGGGCCGCGACGGTGGACCTGGAACGTTTGAAGCATCGCACCTGGTCGAAGACCCGCTCCGATGCCTCCACATTGACGCTGCTCTCGCCCTGCGCCAAGGCCAGTAGGAAGACACTACAGACGTTGAAGCAACAGGAGCAGCAGACCAGGCTTTGACCTCGTTTTTCGTGTGGAAGGCAGTCTGAGGTGGCAGGAGTCATCAATCGGAGCTTTGTGGTGTCAATTCTCACCAAGATCAGATCGCAGTTCAGTCTGTGCCGGCCGTGGTGGCCGTTGCTGGCGTCGCGTCAACACGTTTTGGTGCAAAAAAGAGCCGGACCAGGAGGCTGCAGGCATGCTGGGGGTTAGAGGTGGCTGGGCATGAGATTTTGGCTAGCGAGCATGGCCTGGAATGCCTGGGAGAGGTTCTTTCGTTTCCCCATGCTGATGTTAAAGGACACATCGCCCAGCGGCAAGCATTCAACATCATTCAACTGTTTGGAGTTTGGATATTTACACCGTCCCGCTCTCCCTGCATGGTTTTGATCAACCCTGAGGGGTGATTGATTCAACATGATTCAGGAGCCCTTGAGCCAGGCCATGCCAAGGTCGATCTTTGTCCCAGGTCCCTTCGTTTTGGTGTTCACACCACTGGTTTGCCCAGCATGTTTCCATCGCGCATCCGCGCTTCGCGGATGTCATCGTGCTTCCGTGCGTCGTTGACGTGCGTCGGCCAGGATAAGATGAAGTCTGGTACCTGGGACTTGATGTCCGGCGTCTGAGCGAATGATAGGAGAATGACTCGGAGAATGATGGAGAGACTTGATGGGACCAGAAAGGGCACGAAAGGGTTTGCTGGGCCAGAAGAAAGAAGAGAAAGAGCGTGGTAGTGAGAACACTCCGAAGCAACTTGTAGGCTCTGAAGATCTGTTCTTGACGCCAACAGAAATCAATCTCAACGAGCTGAGAGGGATGAGAAGAGCAATAGCTGATGGCTACATTCCCCTCAAATGAGGGGCAAACAAAGGAACAACTGAAGGGATTTGAGTGGCCAGAAAGAATCTTAGCATCCATATGGTCCAAATGAATCCACTTGACCCCTCTTGTGATATAGGCCGTTTGTTCTCCAAAATAAGAATCAACCTGCTTCGTTCGGTATACAAAACGGCATCAACCTGAAGCTCCATGTCCGACGCGTAGGACTGGACGTCAGGAGCAACTCACTGGGCGGATTGGACTCCCGACCTCTCAGGGCGAAGTCATCACTCCCCAGAGCGCTCGAGCTCGACATGGGAGACCGAGCTCGAGGCAGCGACTCAAAACACCATGGGGCCCGGGGTGATTTTCCAGCGTGGTTTGACTTGCCAAGCATCCAGAATCCAGAGAGCGGCGACACCAAATCAGCTTGCCAATGGATGTTTATTCAATTTGGTCCCAATCGAGCTATTACATCCACATTCGGATGCAATACTCATGATGCAATGACTCCAGCACATTTGCATGAAGTCTTATCAAGTTTGGACTCGACTGTTTTCGCTGTTTTTGTTAATGATTGCACCAAGTACCAAAAATAGAATCACCTATAGATCCCGTCCAAAACCTTTCACGAAGGACACCGGCCCCTGAAAAAGCTCCCATTCTTCGAGCGAGATCCTCGCCGGATCCAATCCCGAGAACGAGAAGCAGATCTGGTGTAGTTGGCGATGGATCAAAAGCGGCACCCGTGGGATGTTCGTTGATGTTCGGTGTGGGTCAAACGCAGTCTGATGACGTTTGCTTTCGGTAAAGCCTAATGACGTGGTCCCCCAAATAGAGAGCAAAGCGGTTTCCAATACATGATTAGTGGGGAATACTGTAGTGGAGATCTACTTTTCTATCTATTTGGGGGTCTATTATAAATACCGTGACCATGATCATCCACTGGTTCTAGCTGGTTTGATGTGCACGTCCGACGCCCTTCTTCAATTTGCTTTTTGGTCCATCTTGGGGTTGCACCTCCGAAACCCTCAGACCCGTGACTGACTCCCTCTCTTCACCAAGATAGGCTTGATCGGAGTTCCTTGCAGTGCATTCAACCACAAGTTCGAACCCTTGCAAAGAACGAAAACCATAGAAGGCATTAAAGGGGGCACCTGATTCCTCACCTGGGAGACTACTCTCTAACCACTGAAGCTTGAGTTGATGTTTCCTGTTCGTTGGGGGGAGTCTCCCTAGTTCAATACGTACGCACCGAGGATATCGTACAGTTTCCGGATGTTTGTGCATGAAGATCTTGGACCGATGACCACGTTTGGAAGTGGTGACTGTTGTTCATCTTTTCTACAGTCTCTTTTTCTTGCCATGAATGTATGAGTTGGGAGTGTCCTACTACCTGTAACCGTCGGTAAACAAGATCATCACTATTTTAGAGAAAGGCCTTTACTAACGATCATTCTACCCAATGTATGACCTCAACAGACCTCCCAGAGTGGGCTCCTTCAAAACCCCAACACCACGGCAGTTCCACCAGAACTCCACCTTGGCTATCTACCGGAGTGGCCCAAAACCCCCGACGTTCGTTCCGACTTGTGACTTGGTCGTGCGCAAAACATCGGGACTGAGGGGTGCAGGCTGAAACCTTGAAAGCATGCGTCCGTGGACATGTGCCTGGAAGTGTCCAGTGTCTAACGAGGGCTCCTTCGGGTGCCTGGTTTCATTGAACTAAACCAGCTTCGAAGAGAAAGACTAATGAACAACAACATATTCATCACCGCAACCCAAACCGTTGAATGACTTCAAGAGGAGTTCAAAGCCAGTTTCTCGCCCGTCAACCGAACCGAACCGAACTGTGGCTCTTTCCAGGTGGGTTCTGGCCGCTGAACTGAACCAAAGAGTGGTGTCCGGCATCGGAGTGCCCGGGATTGTCACCGGGGTTTTCACGTGGACACCGGTCCCCAGATAGATCTATTTAGAGTGTTAGCCGATTGTGTTGGTCAAGAAACGTGAGGGAAAAGGACAACACACATGCAGCATGCAAATAAGAAGATAGCGCCACTGCCCGCGTATTGATGCCTCTTCATGCCTCTATTCCCTGGATTGACCCAGTTTCTCTCCCAAAAAGCAGGCGTCCGGAACTGGGTCCGCCCGTTTCACCCACGAAGACTCGCTGGGTCCCCCAATGAAGTGGGCGCAGCCATGCTGTCCGAGGAGCGTCCTCCGCGGGTCTGAGGTGTTGGAGATCCTGCCTTCCCCTCTAGGATTCCTAGTAGGCCCGGGTAGGCCACAAAAATCTAAGTGGTTGGATAGGGATATGGTCAAGATATGTCAAGATGCCAGGGTTTTTGTGGGATCATGTGGGATCACTTGGCACCTTTGAGAGCCAGTTGGTTTGAGGGGTTAACCAAGCAAGGTGCCAGCATTGATACGACTGCCTGTTGTTCGGTCTCCTTTGCTATCCTTATGTTACCGTCTCCATGTTGCCATCTTTCATCTCCTGTTTCTGCTTTTTTTTTGTTTGATTCCTACACCCCAAAAAGTTATTCCAGACAAT